TACAGACCTATGGAGATAGATTTATGTCTAAAGTAATCATACTTAAATGTCATGAAGATATTATAATTCTATGAAATGCAAATCCAGAGTTGCAAATGCATGCCTGCACCTGACACTAAAGTTTCACAAGCACAATCCTCATTTTACATTTATATTCAGGTTGTAATTACGAATTTCAATTTACACATTTACAACTTCAGCACTACATTTACGAATCACTAGTTACGTAGGGAAAGTGACGTTGGCAGTAGCCAATGGGTTTCGACAAAAATAATCTCACGGTCATCAACTTCTGATGAGTAGAAGCCACAAAGAGAGCTGGCCAGAAAGCAGAAGATTCACGTCTAAAGTAATCGTACATAAAAAATGAACTGCGGATCGGAAGTCACAAGATTTTTTTTTGTCAAAATACACTGGCAACGCACCTTTGTAACTAGTGATTCGTCAACATACTGAAGTTGCAAATGCATAAACTTTGATTTGTAATTGCAACTTCACCATCGTAAACTTGTAAATTGCGATTAGTAATTGTAAAATGAAGATTATACAGGTACACATTTTGCAACCTTGAATATGGATTTGTGCTTCATAAAATTACAAGATCGTTGTGACATTTAAGTACCATTGCTTTAGAGGTAAATTTACCTTACGCCTATGAATCAATTGCTCATTAGTGGCTACAAACTGTCTAAATTTCTCTTGTAAAATGAGAATCGGTAGACCTAAAAGTTCGACTTGCAATATGAACTGAATGTGTGAATCTGTTGTCGGAAATGTCACAGTAGAAGTGTACTTGCAAAATATTTGCCTACAAGGTCAAATTACAGATTTAGAAATATTACTTTGGATTTGCAATTCAATTTTGACGCACTGTTACACTTATGACAAGAATCTGTCTTCATAAGAGGTTCTCCAAAGAGACAAACACCAGTAAGGGCAGCAACATTTACTCACAGATATGGCATAGTGATGCTGTATGCGTGATGAGGTACTACTACTACAAACGGTATCGGACACAGGTTCCCAACCCCTTGATGTTTGTGGACTGGTTTATGTTGCAGAAAAGTATCACGGACATTTTATACGTTTAACAGTTTCTACTTTTTTCAGATGCAGATGTTGTAAATGAAAATAAGTTTATTTTTGTAAATTAACTAACTCCTTCACAAATCCACCATCATTATGCTGCCTGGGGGAATAATGACCACGGACAGATACTGGTCCACGGACTGGGGGGCTGAGAACCACTAGTCTATGAGACCGAACAGTCAGAAAGACATCAGGGACACTTCCATCTTATATAATATCTATCTTATATAATAAGGGACACTGATTTTGAACTACGTGCTGAAGGGGGTTTTCTTTAAGGGGCCAGACATTGGAGGAGCTCACCACCATCTCGAAATCGCCGTGATCCACCTCGCTCTGCTCTTGGCTCTCCTGCCGGCCACCGTCACCGCCGGTCATCCCCGAGGGCTGCATCTTGTCATCCGCGTCGTCGTCATCGTCGTCGTCTTTGTCTCCTGCGGAGGTTGGGAGGGGTGACGATGCGGCGGGGGAAGGAGGTGGGGGTGGGGGGGTGATACCTGAGAGGGTACGGCGGGGCCCACGGAGACCTACCCATGGGGGTGTTGGATCGAGGGGGTGATGGCAGGGTCACGTGTCGGCGCTTGTTCCTAGGTCTCAGCACTCGAATCAGCGCCTGCTTACAAGCGAAGCTCACGGCCGTATCCTGCAAAACCCACACGTGGCACGTTGGTGCCACCCGATGGTCAAACTCTGCATTTACACTGGTGTATAATGCATTTACAAATGTGCATAATGTGCAAATTGGACTGCTTATGACAGGATGTTAAGAAGGTCACAACAATAATTACTATCTATAAAAATAATTGCACATGTAAACAGGTCCACTGTGTCAGGGCTCGGTGACACCCACAGGGCAAAGCAGCATCTGCATGTAGATTTTCGAGGCCAAGTCGATGCAGTCCAGTTCACAGGTGCAGTAACCTTGAATGATGTCTACCAACGCGTTTACTGTGGCTTCAATATGGGTCAAACCTGAGATGGGACCGAAGGGAAGCCTCTGGTCAGAAATGCAGGTGGGACAGTTCAGAATAACAGCCTTAACATCCGCTACGGCCCAGGGAATATTATCAGATCATCTTTGTTCATAGTTAGTCCAAAGACTTCTAAAGCGCAGGAGGAAAGCCCTCCCTGTATTTGGGGAGGGGGGCTCACCGGGTAGGCAGGCGGGGGCCAGGAAAGCATTCTTGGGTTTGAGAGAATGGAGCTTCCAGAACTGGTTCACCAGCTGCATGATGAAGCTGCAACCCTCATTCTCCGCAGGCTTCTGACTCTCCTTGCAGTCATTGCCTGGTTCTGGAGAGAACATCAACATCATCATCCGCATCATCAACACCATAATTATCATTATCATCATCTCCACCACCACCATTATCCTCATCCTCATCCTCATCATCAGTCATACCACTTGCAGATCTGACTAGATAATCCATCTGAAGCTAAGCAGGTTTGGGCTCGGCCAGTATTTGAAAACAAGGTAAGCTGACTTGCTGCTGGATGAGATGTTGGTGTGGCCAGCAGGGCAGCCCATCCTGGGGTCTGTGTGGATCCCAATGCCCCAGTGCAGTGACGGGGACACTGTGCTGTAAAAATGGCGCTGTCCTTCGGATGAGACGTGAAACCGAGATTCTGACTCTCTGGGGTCATAAAAGATCCCTGGGCATCTTTTGAAAGAGTAGGGGTGGTACCCCGATGCCCAAGCTAAAATGTAAAATCTGGCCTCCTAATCGTCCCCTATATCTCTATATCTATATTCTCTCCTGCCCCGTCACCACCTTAGATACTGTGTGGTGAGCGTACTGGTGCAGAATGGCTAACGTTGCATCATCCAGGTGGGGGCTATACAGTAGTGGTGGTTGAAGTAGCCCCCCATTGGTTCTGTAAAGCACTTTGGGTGTTTTGGAAAGTGCTATATAAATGTAACATGCATTCATGTATTCATTCTCATCATCATCAGAATCACCTAATTCCCGGCACAAGCAATGCCAAGGAGCAAACATGCTTATTAGAAACGCCATGTGTAATGGCCAAATAAGTTTCCCAGCCATCCCGCCCCCAGCCCCCCCCCATGGGCACACCTGAGTCAGCAGGGGGCAGCTTGGATTCGGTGAAATGCACTAGGTTGTTGGGCCTCATGATGGCAATAGAGCGGGCGGTGATGACAAGCCTCTGGAAGACGTCAGGGTCCAAGTCCTTGCCCTCTTTGCTGCAGCTGTTCAGGCACTGTACGGCATTGCTCAGCAGAGACTGGTCCTGCACACGGGGAAGCGGGGGGGGGGGGGGTCATAAGCCACATGAACATCTGAGAGAGGATCAGCAATATTTCAGGACTGCTTTGATAACCAGCCATCCACTATTATTAAAACTGATTACAATTTTTGAGGTCTTTTAAACACCTACGGCAAGAGTTCTGAATGTCCAGACAGTGGCCCGTATGCGGAGAAAATTAATCTGGGTCCAGCCAAAAATGGACCTTATGAATCAATATGTTTAATGTAAAAAGGCTTAATGTAGTTTGAAGTACCAAAATAAGTGTACAATATAAATACCCAAAGTAAGATGAAATCCAGATGACTGACAAACACTGGAAGGCAGGAAAAACCATTTTTCTGTCGAAAGCAAGGTGGGAAAGCTGTAACAGTGGGGTCACTTACAGTCGTCCTTCATGCAGAACTTCTGCCAGTTGATGGTCCTCTGGGTGGCTATCTCCGCACAGGCTTTCAGGTGCTCCATCTGAGAAAGGGGGGCAGACCGGAGATGCAGTCAGGAAGGAGACCTCCCCCCACCCAACATGGCACCGAAAGCTTGACGCCCTAGGGCCATGCCCCCGGCCGCCCACACTCACCAGGCTAATGAGGGTGTCGTACTGCAGGGCGGAGCCGGACGTCGCCGTGACGATGCCGGCCCGCTGGAAGATGCCCTGCTCCTCCAGCAGCCTCTTGATAGCGCGCACGTGCGAGTCCAGCGTGTGCAGGTCGCGCAGCTGCCGGTACTTATCCTTGGAGCCGCAGATGAACAGCAGCAGCTTGCGGACCTGACGCCTCACGAACGGGGTCTGCTGGATCATCAGGTACTGCGGGGGGGTAAGAAGCAGGCCGCATGAGGACGGGCAAACCTGAAGCCAGTGCCAGGAACAGGCAGGGAGAAAATGGAAGCCCCCACAACACTGGGGCACACTGCGGTATTTTGAAATCTTGGGGGAACTTTTGGCAAGATTTCAAAATACCAAAATAATGTTGTTTTTGAAAATACCATGAAAATACAGCATATCGCACTATATATCTGGGCTGTATGGGCGTATGAAAAAAATAGATTCTGCCCACGTTTAACTGGGTGTTAAGACACAGCCCTACCTTCTGAGCCAGTATACCAGTGGCACAAATTACTGCATTAAAACAGTGGCAATGTGCAAAACTGGGAAAATTAAATAATGAAATGTAACCGAGCAAGAGCTGCTTCATATAAAAAGTCGGCTAAGTGGACGGGTCTGTTTTACCTGATTATTGATATATAAATAAATGGCACGTGGCACTGGTTACCTCAGACAGGAAGTAAAACCAGCAGTGGTCAAAGATGGGCGGTGGGATGCGCGAGTTGGCGTCGGCGATCTTCTTGATCTGGTACGGCAGTCGCAGCACCATCTCGGTGAGCAGCTGGGAGTAGGCCTCAAACACGTCGGCCGCATGGCCCTGCGTCAGAGGACCCAGCCGTTAACGTGCGGCTGCTCACGGCAGCTGGTCGACAACTCAAGAGGCATTTCTCACACCGCCTTGGAAATGCATGCTCACCGACGCAGAGTGCCACATGCAGCGTGTCAGACGCACAACCCATTCGACAGCAGACACGTCCAATTGGTTAAACCTGGGGCACACCCACCTTGACATACTGGCGCAGGAAGAAGGGGCTCATATCCGGGGGCGAGGAGGAGGTGTGGGGCTTAAGGAGCTGGCTGGCAGCGGCGGGCTCCTCCTCACCCTGCTGCGTCTTCCAGAACTCCAGCAGGGACTTGAGTACATGCAGACAGTAGTCTATGGCGCCGGAGCTGAGGAGGGCTGTTGCCGTGGCGTTGGAGATGAAGGACGAGGACTGGCGGAAAGAGAATGAGAACCACAGCCACTGCATTGGAGCTCATCAGCGTACAGCATCCCCTGGTAGACAGGAGAAGAAGCCACCCTTAAACCATCCTAGATCATCCTGTGCCGTCAGTCTGACACTCCCTGTGATCCACTTCCCACCTGCTACTTTACCGACCTCCCCCACTGGGTCAGACAGTAACTGATGCCACACAGTACCCCCCACCCCATCACAGGCACTGAAGTATGACTGCTGGGTAGTGGTAAGAGGATCAGGCTTGAATACACTGATTGGAAATTTAAACATCTATATAAACAGCAAACTGTTGTGCAAATTTTGTTTTACAGTTTCAAAAAATTCCAGCAGTATGGCTTTAGTTTCAGAAGGAAACCTAGCTGTATTAACAGGAAGTGTTTAGCAGTGGTATTTCTTCATACCAGCAACAGCAACAAAGTTGTTTAGGACGGTCTCTCCTCCCGAAGGCAGGGAGCCAGGAGAGGAGCTCCCGCTGAAGATGGTTATGACAACAGTGTCTCCTCTTGACGAGAGCCAGGAGGAGAGAGCCTTCTCTCTTGACGAGAGCCAGGAGGAGAGCACCTCCTCTCGGAGGGAGTCAGGAGGACGGCGTCTCCTCTCGGAGGGAGCCAGGGGGACGGCGTCTCCTCTTGGAGGCAATCAAGAGGGGGACGTCTCATCTCCTCCTGACGGGAGCCAGGGGGACGGCGTCTCCTCTTAGAGGGAGCCAGGGGGGGCGGCGTCTCCTCTTAGAGGGAGCCAGGGGGACGGCGTCTCCTCTTGACGGGAGCCAGGGCGAGGGCGTCTCCTCTTAGAGGGAGCCAAGGGGGACGGCGTCTCCTCTTAGAGGGAGCCAGGGGGAGGGCGTCTCCTCTTGACGGGAGCCAGGGCGAGGGCGTCTCCTCTTAGAGGGAGCCAGGGGGAGGGCGTCTCCTCTTAGAGGGAGCCAGGGGGATGGCGCCTCCTCTTAGAGGGAGCCAGGGCGAGGGCGTCTCCTCTTAGAGGGAGCCAGGGCGAGGGCGTCTCCTCTTAGAGGGAGCCAG